AACTAGTAGTCAATGCTTATGTTACCTGTATGCTTCATTTAGATTCAGATGATTCTTCCAGCTCTTCTGACTGTGAATTAGAGAAGTTATTTATACAATATCCAGGGATAGAAAAGATACAACCAGATTGTATCTCAAATTTAAAAACAGTTGCATTGGGGAGTTTTGTGTACAAGATTTGTTGGTGATTTTATTTTTACTTTCACTTAACTTTTTGTTTTTAATCACAATTGTATTGCCATCATTTCAGAAAAGTTCATAAGCTGTGCCTTTTAGCAGTTAAATAATTTCTTGGTTTTTCTGCTACTCTTAACATCTTCTCTTGTTAACCACACTCTCATTGAAGTAACTGCTTAAAACATTTTCAAAAAATCCTTAAAAATCTCCAAACAGGGCCTAGGATTTTTAAAAAGCATAAAATCTAGACTCTTCATTCAGCTTAATCTAGAAGGTGTTTCACACCTGGTTACTTGTTGCCTAATATGTGTCATGGACCATGGAGGCCCTGGGCAAGGATGCTTGCTGTTGTGGATGCTGTATTGCACTGCCCAGACCCCCTTCAGGATTGAGGCTCTCACTCCCCCACTGGCTGGGATTGACGGTTCCCAGCTGAGTCCCTCTCTTCTTCCTTGCAAGCAGCCCGTATCCATTGGCTGGCAGATGTAGGGATATAAAAGCCCAACCCCCTAGCTTCAAGGAAAGACAATTCTGCAGAGCCATCCTAACTCCAGAGTTCTCCGTGAAACCATCAGAAGCCTTTGTTATAACCGAATCATAGTTCAATTCCTCCCTCTATCCAGATGCTTCCTGTTCTCACCCACAGGCATGATGAGCTCAAAGCCATTCTTCCATAACTTCTTTAGTGCAAAGCTCTGTTTCAGAATCTGATTCCTAGCAAACTCAACCTATGACCATAGCTCCATACGGGGAGAGCAGGGTGCCACTGTTTGGTCACGGAGGTTGACATAAACCTTTAAATCAAGGACATTATAATATTCGGTGTCATAGAAGCATCATACAATCCTATGGGAGTGGAAGAAGTGACTTATTTTGCTTGGGATATAACAAGGGAAGAATTACGAAAGGTTTTGCAGAAGAGGTAATGTTTGAGCTTAACTTCGAAGAATGAGTAGGTCTTCTCTAGACAAAGAAGGATGTGAGGTAGTCTGGGTTTGTAATAGAACACAGCTTATTAAAGATGTGGCAGAGAGCTCAGTGTGGCAGCTGAAAGGTGGGCTCCACGGGTGGGGTCCCAGTAGAGATGGGTTCAGAGCCAGGCCATTAAGCACTCTACTGATTCTGAAGGTTCTTATGCTGGAGTGTCCTCTTCCTTCCTAATTCCCATCTGTCAAACTTGGCACCCCTGCTTCACATACAAGATGTAATTTGAGTAGGTATACTTAGAGACACCCTTCTTCCACTTGTTTGCTTGAAGACTTGTTATTTCTTTTTCTATTTTGTTAAATACTATTTTATTGATTAACCGTTTCATTTTAACCTGCTTTAGAAAAGCCTCATGTTTATATAAAGAGTGTATCTTTTAGTCTGGCTTTAAAATAACCTTCTATAAAAAAAAACACAGAGATCTTTCTCTGTCGTGCTTAAAATTCTACCACTAGCAATTTCTGGAATTCCAAGTGGTAAGGTAAAGTAAAGTTTAGGTAGTCCAGATTTCTAACAACACATGAACCCTCGTTTCAAGCCTCAGATGAAGGGTTGTCCAGTTGTTTTTAGTATATCTCTAGTAATGGAAACATTGACCTTTACCTGTTTCTCTTAACACTGATATATCACAGAGTAACAAAATTGCAGAGTTGGAATTAATCATTGTTTTACATGTGAGAAAACCAAGGTCTAGAGAGAAGAAATCATTTACCTAATGTCATACAGTAGATGTTGACAAATCCAGAGGGACAATTCATATTCTTCATCTAGCAACTTTGTCTCTCTATGGCTACATAATGAATTCATCAGATACCTATCTGAATTATTGGGAGGCAGGAAACTGGGATACCAACCCATCCTCTGCCCCTAATTATCTCCATGACTCAGGTCCCAGCTGTATCAGTCTTCCAGGTCTGTTTTCTCACCTGGGAAATCAGAGGCCTGGACTAGAGGAACTCCCAGAGCCCTTCTCCCAGACATTTTTTTTTTTTTTTTTTTTTTTTTTTTTTTTT